TATATATATATATATATATAAAGTAAATGCATAATTTAGGAGATTTGTAGTTTATAACGAAAAAATTATAGAGTTCTTTTACATAGCTTCTGAATTTTTTATCTATATCATTGGATTTACAATTTTATTTGCACAAAAAAATATTCTCTTCTAAAAATAAATTAATCTTTCATCTATAAAAAATTCCATTAACAGAATAGTCAGAAAACATCGATTTTATGTCTGAATTCTAAAATATTAAATGTAATATAAGAATAAATGAATTTATTGGCAAAACAAAATGTAATATGAGAAATTAATTGTATTTCATCTTATTTAGGAGCTACCGTAAAGTAACGATGTTGTAATGATCAAATGACGACGACGCGCTCAGGAACATTGGCACGAATCGAGTAAAATCGTGAAATTTTTTTTGCTGCTTTAAAAAATTACATATCATTACCAAATCTCGTTTTCAATAATATTTCATGTAAAACATGACGAATAAGCATTCTTTAAAATCAACTATAAGTTATAATCAACTTATAATTTTTAATTTTTTTTAATTTCAATATTTTTATCTTTTTAATTTTGATGGTATTAATAACTATTGAATAGTGATATACAGATATAATATTGAAAGTTTTATATTTATAGTATAGCTTATTGAAACATACATAACTACAAGTTAAGCATTGCAAATTTTCCAAGAAAACAATTAATTTAATCAACAATCAATTTAATCCTGCATCCGAAAAAAATTTCACGACTACAGTCTTAATATACTTTCACGGTATCTCGCTTGCTTGTCTTAATCGCGCGATTTTGTTTTTACTCTCGATGCCAAGGAGAAGTTCTCTCGCCTGAGTGAACGCAGATCTCCTTCGAAACCGAAGCGAAACGCTCGATATGCACGAACGTGTTGACGCGCATCAGAGAACACATTGCGTGCATATCTTATTGCCATTAAAAAAAGTCAAGTGCTCATTTTCAAAAAGTACCTACGCTCTAGCGCCTTCGCATAAATTAGAGATGTTGATGTAAATGTTGATGAACAAGTCATTGAAGGTTGCCTCTGGCGGCTTCGTGTAAATCTCAACAAAATCTCATAGGAATGTAATGAATCCATACAGTCATTTATTTGGACTTAACGAGCTTACATATCCGAGTTTAGTACACTGCGATCATTTACACATTATATACTTTCATATCTACACATACTTTCATATATATATATATTTTTTTTTTAAGAATAGTGTAATAAACATTTCAGAACAAGAAATTAAGATCTAATCTAAAATTAATAAGCAAAATAGAAATAACTAGATTCTTATGTATATTTGATGTAAATAAAGAGAGAGAGAGAGAGAGAGAGAGAGAGAGAGAGAGAGAGAGAGAGGGGAGGAGGAGGAGGAGGCTATAGTGAAAGCTTATATTTACATTATTTCTTAATTTTTTAAAATTTTAATAAGACATTTGTTGCTTAGAACGCATACGGATTATCCTTCTCGATTATTTCTCGAAAGAAATGTATAACGCGAAAGTTCATTACGATCGTGTATCCAGAATTGGATAGAACACCATGAATGTAACACCATGAGTCAATTTTAAATTTATAATAAATGATTATAGTCTATATAAAACTATTTGTAGGTAAAAGAAAAACATACACTGAAAATAAAAGAATATATAGAAGAAAATCTGAAGTGTATACATAAATATATAAATAAGGAAAAATATAGAAATATATAACAAATAAAACATATAAATAAAACATATATAAATGTGAAAATTTACACAATGATCTTTGTGATCAGACATAGTATATTTTTGCAATTATTCTAATAAAATCTCTGCTCGAAAAGAATCAAAAGATAATTCGCATTTATAATTCTAGATATCGTATTTAAATATCGCCTGCGTCTTATCTAGATAAATAAGTTTTTCTGTCGATTGTATGAGTGTTTAGATATCATTCGTTAAGGAAGATATCAAATTCAGAAATAAAATTTGGAAATTGGAAATTTTTATTTTTGTATTAAAATAAGAAATAATATTGCAATAATAAATATTACAATACTATATATACATTGTACAAATTTTAAAGAAATTTAGAGACGCAGTTTAGTTAAGCACGAACACATAATTTCAAATTATTCAAAAACACAAACATCCTATTATGCACCGTCACGTTTCGAAATAAAGTTCGAAATATAAGTTTTCCCTTAAAAAAGTTGTTTTCGCGTTACTCTCTGTGAATAGGTCACTGGATTAAATTAGAATCGTCTCAGTCCGTTCAACTTGCTAGAAGGAAAAGCATCGGAACGATCGAAGAGGGTCGCGTTGCGCCGCAGCTGGCCGCCGCGAACTTTTTCTACTTGCGGCAATGCGTCAACCGCATCAAGTGAATCGAGTGCCCAGAGTAAGTACACGCTCGCGTGTGTTCAAGGCGAGAGCGTACGACGAGAATGTTATCGAGGATCGACCGGCGGCGATTGTTCCGAGGACAGGTTGTTGGGAGATCGCCCACGCTTCGAGCGATCCTTCGCATAATCGGCGGTCGTAGCACTGGCTAAATGTCAGCCCGGCCCAGGCGAAGAACGATTTTATAATGTGCTCTGCGTGTCCATATATTTTGAATATTAATCGTTCGCAGGGTGGTCCAAATGTCGGGTCAGAAACCCGTGAACGATTTGTAGAGAGTTCGAGATAATTCGCGGGATGGTACATCCGTGTTCAAACATACGCGAGACATGATCATGAGCTACTATCGAATCTTATATATGCGAGATCTTCCTCATGTTTGTAACTGACAAGGCAGTCTCGATGAATCGATAAAGGCCCGCCCGATCCCACGTCAACGATATGTAATTAATGCAAGACGTTCAAATAGTAAAATATTATACGCGCGTATGTGTGCGTAGATTCGTATAAATTCTCAATAATTTGTGCACATTGTATGTAAATCGCGTGGGATTTATGCGACAGTTCGATCGGCTAGAGATGCAAACTAGACTTTCATCGCGCGGAGTCGTAAGATAGCTTTTACAAACTCATTTAAGCATACATATGAGCCAACAGGATTCTCAGATCTTTACAATTTCTGCTCGTTATTGAATTATTTCTAAGCTCAAATGACATTAACGAACTGTTTTAGATCGTGAGAAAATATACCATCAATAAACCGTAAGATTATATTTAAATAGGGCTATTATCTGTGATGAAATTTCTAAAGAATTTCCTTAAATAGACGCATCGTCATATCTTTATCAAAATGGCTTCAGTAAAAGGTTATGAGAAAGTATATGTGTTCAATTTATAACAATTGAAAAAACAACCAATTTGTGTATAAATCTTTTCATTACGATTGTGTGCCGAAAAAATTTTGCTGGAGTATCTAAAAATTTAGATAGACGTGTCTGAAAATAATTATTGAAATAATTTTATTGGACGAAAATGTACAAAACTCAAGCATAATAAGCAATTGCAAAAAGTTTTAACATTCTAGTAGTCAATTCGATATCTAATTATTTTTATCAAGTTTTTATAATCTAACATAATTATATTTAGATCTCAATCTAAAGTTTTAGATACTTCATCAAAACCGTTTTACTCGTGTGGCACGTCTGTTTAGAAACAACCTGACAGAGTTTAAACACGTAAAAGATCGATCGATTTTCAAGATTTTATTTTCAATGTGTATCACACGATCGTTTGCTTTTTTCACAAAGCAACTTTCTCTGCGCGTAATAATCTTTTTCTTTCTTCTTGACAAAGAGAATTTATCGCCTCCATCTATCGTCGCGTAAAGCGCCGCCTCTACCGGCAAATTAATTTGTCGTTGTCGATATATATATATATCCGCGAGATCGACAGGCAGAGATAAATGTCGTGCGCGCGGCGAAGTATTAAATTCCGTTCGCGAATGCGCGATCTCGTTCTCTCTATTTTCGCGTACAAAGCACCTTTCCGCTTCTCCATCGCCTAATCGAATTTAATCTCTCAATTCACATCGGTCGAGTTTTTTTTGCGTCCCTCACACTGACACGCGACATCGCCTCCATCGTCGCACAATGCGTGTTTGTTTGTTCATCGACCGCGGCGTGCCTCCATCTCCATCTCTCTCTCTCTCTCTCTCTCTCTCTCTCTCTCTCTCTCTCTCTC